TGGGACTAAGGTTTCCGATGCAACAAACAAAAAATGTTGCCATGGAGGCAATTCCAACTCACAGCGACCCTACAGGACAGAGTAGAACTGCCCCATAGAGTGTCCGAGGAGCAGCTGGTGGATTCGAACTGCTGACCTTCCGGTTAGCAGCTGAGCTCTTAAGCACTATGCCAGGAGGGCTGTGGAAATCCCACCTGGGAATCTTTCTCACAGTGTTTCGGGGTGCGGCAGATTTCATGCGATCGGGTACACCTGGTGTGGTAGCGGAGATAACTGGGAGACAGGGCAAGGGGATGTGAGGTAATGTGTTGTTAATTGTTGTGTGCCTGAACTTGACTCCGACTCATAGCGACCCTACAGGACAGTAGAACTGCCCCATAGCGTTTCCTAGGCTGTAATCTCTACGGATGCAGGTCGCCGGGTCTTTTCTCTGGCAGAGCCGCTGGTGGATTCAAATCTCCAACCTTTGGGTTAGCTGAGCACTTGCCAGTGGGTTGGAGCAGGTCTCCTCAATACCTGTCACAGCGAACAGTAGTTGCTCAATTCGTGAATTGTCCAATAGAAATATAATACGAGCCTCATATGTAGTTCTAAATTTTTAGTAGTCACACTGGAAAGGTAAGATAAACAAGTGAAATTAATAATACGTTGCATTTAACCGAGTCTCCAAAATCTGGTGTGTAGTTTACAATACAGCACGTGACTAGCCACATTTCAAGTGCCCAATAGCACCACGTGGCTTGTGGCTTCTGTAGTGGCCAGCGCTGAGGTAGACTTCTTTGGTTTTCAGGCATGGGCAATTCCTCCAGCTAACAGGAGGGCACGGGACATCTGGAGGCACTGGGGGAGACATCACCAGGAAAGGCAGGTGGGGCGGGCTCTACCCACTCCAATGCCTCCCTCTAGCAACCGTTTTTTAAGTACCTACTTCCTACAACTTTTGAGGATAGACTTGCTCCTGCTTGTCCTTACAGCCTATGCCCACCCACCTCCAGACATCCTCATCCAGTACTTACTACAGAGTCGGGGGAGGGGGGGTCGCAATGAATGGTCTTCTTTTCTGTGGTCTCTAAATATTACCCACCTCACTCTCCCCCCTTTCTTTTTTCAACCAAAATCTGCTGTTTCTTTTGTTTTCATTTTGATACATTAAGCACCTTTTCTGTGTCACCCCTGAGGAGGGGGGAGGAGCGGTGAGGGTACTTTTGAGTATACCCCCCCCATCTCATTTAATCCTTTCAGTAGCCCTAATGAAGGCATTTTATTCCCAGTTCTCAAATAGGGGGGATGAGGCTTGGGGAAGTGTTGTGACTTCATGGTGACAGAACTTGGAGGAAGAAAAGTTTCTCATGCAGTCCCCATCCCTAATGAGCCATGGACAATGCTGGGCAATGAGACTGCACTTTCGACCCCAGGGTCTGTGGCCAAACCAATGAAACCTTCTGATCCATGTAAAACACAGAACAAGTCCTGGAGTCCGAAACCTGGGCCAGCCCCAGGCCTTGGCTCTCCCTAGCTGCGTGACATTGGCCAGAACAATTCGTAGTAATAATAAATCCATTGCCATGGAGTTGGGTACTGTAATCTCTATGGAAGCAGACTGCCACATCTTTCTCCCGAGGAGCAGCTGGGGGGTTCGAACTGCCTTAGCAGCCAAGTGCTTAACCACTGCACCACCAGGGCTCCTTAATCATACTATTAACTCGCATTTATCGATCATCTCCCATGTTCTAGGCTTTGACCAGGCAATGACTCATATACTTCCTTTTCCTCGCAACAAGGTAGATGGCTCATTTTATAGATCAGGAAACGGGGGCTCAGAAACCCAGGCAATTATTACTCATGTACTTCCTTTTCCTCACGACAAGGTAGATGGTTCATTGTATAGATCAGGAAACCGGGGGCTCAGAAAAAGAAAGTTATCAAAGGCCAGCTAGCCAGTCAACAGAGGAGCTAGGATGAGGAAAACCTATGAAATGTATTAATGTGTGCTTTATCATGTAACATTACCACCCCCCCACACACTGTTATATACATCTTTTGAAATTTTTAAGACCATCAATGTGTAACACAAACAATTGTATATGCCTGCTTCAAATCTAAAAGGTTGTAAAGCGTGGGCAGGTAGGTTTTATTTTCAAAATGCTTTTGTGAATAAAAAAATAACGCCGTTATTATTCTTTTGCCATGTATGGTAACTTGTCAAACCAATTAAAAGTACTGGGCTTTCAAAAGAAGTAAACTAGCAGTGTCCAAGGACAAGGAATAGTAAAAGCCCTTTGAAAAGTACGCAGCTATCATTAGAAATACGTTAAAGCACACTGTAATTATATACTAATGTGAAATAGATATGAAGATGCATTAACTAATCTTCAATAGGAGTCAGCAACTTGATTAAAAAATGAGCAAAAGAATGAAAATATGATTAGAAAACGGTAGGAAAAGGAAAGGAGGATGACTGAAGAAACAAAAGGGAAAAAAAGACATCAGCCAGGCTTTGGCTTTTGTTTTTGAAAGAAAAGAGAGAGTGGAAGGGAGGGAGGCAGGGAAGAAGACAAGGAGAGAGAGAAGAAAGGGACAAAGAAAAGGCAAGTGCTATGAAAAATAAACCCGAATTGTTGGGGTCAGGCAGTTCCTCCAAGAAAAAGAAACTGATCATGACCCGCTTAGCGCTGAGGCTGGGTACAGTTTTTGCGACTGTTTAGAGAAATCTAGCACTCTCCCCACCATCAATCTTTTGCAAAGAAAGACTTTGTTCTGCACCTGTATAAACAGTCCAGATTTTTAAAACTTATATGCTGCCCCTAATGTGTGAGACTATGTATTTATACTGATAGCTTCAAGTCATCAATAGACGATGCAAAAAGCTAGCCTGAGATCTCCCGGTTACATCTTTTTGCTCCCCCTTCTCTCTCTCCCCTCCCTCGCTTTGAGCGGCGCGCCTTGAGTCAAGTTCAAGTTCAAGAGCTCCAGGGACCATTTCTACGCTCCGTCAAATACTCTGCATTTTCCCAGCCCAGAGAGCACCGAGAAAGAGCTATCTTTTTACTCAACTAGTCCCAGAAGGAGCGCCTCCTCTCCCTCTCCAATGACAGAACGTGCAGGGAGAAAACCTCTGCAAATGGGGGCGAGCGGAAGGGGCTCTGTGAAACATCCCACGAGGGGAGCACAGCCTGGAAGACGGAGGTGGAACGATGTCTGAGTGATGAAGTCAGCCCTAACCAGCCACCTGTTGCTGCACTTCAGGCACCAAGCCGGGCGCATTCGTTCTGCTGCAAGAGCTGGCGGAGGAAGAACTGTCCAAGGCCTTGGCCGGCTCTGTCTGACGAGGATTGCGCATCCGTCTCCTTGCACCTCGATCAACTTGGGAGCTTGTGGGTAACTAGGGGAAGAGCAGGTGAACACCTAAGCTGGGTGCGAAGACTCAGTTTCCCCGTTGTAACACTGAGTAATTATATCCCCAAACGCCTAGGGTGTTAATTGTTCAATGGGCTGCTCACATGGTGCCAAGCCTGATGACTGGCGATCAGTGTCCACCTCCAAAGCGAGGAATTCGTCTCCTAACCGAGTATTGCAGTGGCCCTCCAGTTAGGAAATGAGGAGACCGCAGTTCTGTTTCCCTTGGGCGTTTATTTTGGGTTAGAAATGGGACACAATAATTTTGGGTGCTGTTTCGTCGATTTTTACTTTGGCTGGGCAATTGTGCTGATTTAGCATTCTGTATCCAGGAGTGCAGGCTGCTAACCAAAAGGTCCACAGTTGGAATCTACCAGCCGCCCCTTGGAAACCTAATGGGGCAGTTCTACTCTAGCCTATAGGGTCGCTATGAGTCGGAATCTACTCGATGGCAAGGGGTTTGGTTTTGGTTTTGATTATCCAGGAGTGTGCTCTTCAATACATAATCTCAAATAATATTGCCTCCCTACACTGTCACTCAACGTGTTAGGACAGGGTCTTCCATCCTATACATAGTGGTTTTTAAAAAGAGCAAGTATGGAACTCTTAAGATAGTGGAAAATACCAGATACAACATCCAGTGGTGTAGCGACTGAAATACTACTGGCCAAGGATTCCAATCACAGATTTTGAGTCCTTACTCTACCGACCAGTCTGGTAATTTGGAGACCTTAACATCTCCGTGGCTCAGTTTCAAGTTCTGTAAAGTGGAGATAATAACACTAAAGTCAAACGTCGTTGGAAGATTAAACGAACTAACGTAGATTAAAGCGCTGTTAAAGAAAAATTACCTCTCAGGAGCAGAATGAGAGGTAATTGTTGTGGATTGTCGGATGTTGTTTGCTTGTTTTGTTTTTTATCTTTTCTTGAATCAGCAGTGAGTGATGAATTTGCTCAATTGAGCTCTGCTGAAAAAACCCAACGTCGCGATCCTGGGGGCTTTAATTGCCTGGCAAATCTTCACCATCGCTAAGATTAGCTGGGGATGCAACTGAGGTGGGTAGGAACAAGCCCGCCCCACCTCCCC